ACTATAAAGATAACGATAAAGATATAGTTCTAAAAATCGTTCTCAATATTAAAGAATAGTTCACACCACAGCTATAATGATAACGATACAGAGGAACGATATCGTTGTGATCACTTTCAAAACGATTTTTTTCCAGCTGATAAACGATAAAACACTGACAGCCAATCAGAATCCATCCTGCTGTAACGAGCTCGAGAATTTAAAGCGGCAGACGCATGTGCGCTTAGAATAAACAGACGATATCGTTCAAACAGATGATATCGTTCGCTGGTGTGGACGCTAATAACGTTATCTTTATAGTTGTCGTTATCGTTATCGTTCTTGGTGTGAACGGGGCTTTACGGGTTTGAAACGACATGAGGGAGAGTAATTATAATGACAGAATTTTTACTTTTGGGTGAACTATCCCTTTAACAGCTATTTAAATAAAATATTTTGGGAAGGGAACGTCTTTTTTTACTGTTTTCACGTGCGGTTAATAGATGATTTGAAGTTTTACTCATAAAACGACATGCCTACATAAAAATACACTTCACTATAAAACCACATGTTGAATGTAATATAGATGTTTACTGTAAATTAAATGCTTTTTATCTCTTTTACATTTATCGTACCTAGATCTATTTTTGTTTCCGTGTATAGGCTACGGTACGTAAACACTTTTCTTTTTTTTTTTTTTTTTTTATCTCTGTCTCTATAGTGCTTTTTGTACATCGTTTCACTTCAAAATTACAAATATTTTGTACACTGTATCAGGATGTTGCTGTGAGTGTGTGTGTGTGTTTGTGTGTGTGTGTCGGGAGGCGGAGCTGTGCGAACAGCTGGACTGTTTTAAGTGCGCGTTCAGTCCACACGGCGGGACACGAGACAGACAGCGCTGACCGTCAGAAAGGAGCGAGGCTCCGCAAATCTGCCGAAAACACCGAGAACGAAGAAACTTTACACGGCCGCTGTCATTTGGACGCTTGAGGATTAACGATAAGCCAGCGGTTACTGGTGATTGATGCAGTCCGTTCCTGAACAGCCTGCGCTCTGTCTGAGGGTCTAACAAAGGTGGGAGACGCGTCTGCTGTCCCCTATCACAGGGGGAAGGTGAGACACTGTGTCCACACTCTACACTACACACACGGCTGTTACAATTACGTTAAACTGCAACTTCAATCGGCCATTTTGCCTTGTTACCAAAAGGATGTACTTCTACATGCTTATTACAGTTTTCAATCACAGTCAAGTTTATTTTTATTCAAATACACACCAGCTAAACATGCAGCAGTTAATGCAGGCAACGAAATGTTTTTTTCTGCAGGTCCAGAGAAGAGAATAGACAATATCAATGATATACACTAATATAGTACATAATAATGCATATGTAAATAAGAGTATAAATGTGTGTAAAATAATGTAAATTTCACAGCTTGGCAAACAGCATTGTGCAATAGTACAATATCATTATGTCCAAAATGCCAGGTAACAGTCTAGGGAACTGTTTATCATGTTTTTGTCATTGAAAAGATGATTTGTTTTATATTGCAGATATGATCTTTAAGATAAGCCAGTTTGGGGTCATGCAACAAGTATAAATGCACATTGACGAGCAGAGGGAGACAGGCTGGCGAAGGCGAAAGAAGTGGATGTTTTGAGGGGAGCAGTAGAGGACCGTGTGCTGAAGATGTCTCTGTGGATGATATTACCTGTCAGCCTCCCAGCTCTGACCATCACTGGAATATGGGTTGTGTGAGTCCATTTTATGTCATATCATATGAAACGATCATGCTCTGGATCCATAACTATGCATAAAACGTGCAGATGTCATGGATGCTTTGATTTAAGATTACATAATAATTTTCAACCTAGTTTGATATTTAACTGGATGCACACCAATTCAACAGTTTATAGAAGGTCATTTTGCAACTTTATGGTCTAGAAGAATAAATGATGTAGCTTTTATATGTCACAGATTGTTTTAATAGACCAATTTCAGTGTTTGCAAACAGAGATGACGTTTTTTTGTTGGCGGAGTCTATCTGGTGGCAGAAAATGCCAGTTTTAACGTAGCAGTCTGTGCAAGCCATGGAATAAAATAATAAAAAAGGTAATTTTGAGTTTTGTATTTCAAAACTTTTTTCTTTCAATTCCGAGATTATATCTCACACTTCTGATAAGAAAAATCAACTCGTCATTCTCTCTTTTCCCGTCATTCTCTCTTTTCCCCTCGGTTCAGAATCATGAGTTTATAATCCCACACTTCTGGCATTTTTTCCTCAGAATTGACAAACTCGCAATTGTTGAGTTGAATCAAGTTATAAAGTCCGAACTAGGAGAAACTTGCACTTGCAAGAAAAAAAGTCAGAATTGTGATATAAAACAGTTAAATGTTATGTAAAATGTTATAGGTTTAAATAATATTTCATGCTTTAACTGTAGGGCTAATACAATATGTCCCCTATGTGAATATTATATAGACCTATTGTTTAAATCAAATTTATGCTTTAAAAGTAGGGTAATCA